CTCACAGGTGCAGAGAGGCAGTGCAGCTACGGCAGTGCTGTATCATCGTGGGGCAAGGTCTGTCCTAGTTCGTGCCTTGCATTACTGCACTCAGTCCTCACCCCCCGTGAGGGAGGTAGTATCACTACCCCCTTTTGCAAAGGAAAAGACTGAGGCTCAGGGGTAAGGATTGCACATAGGGACACAGAGCTAGCAAGTGCTGGAGCTGAGATTCGAACCCAGGCATTTGGGCTCCAGTGCCCAGGCTCTTAATCGCCATGCAGGTGAGAGACCTGGTCAGAGCCTAGGGCCTCCAAATTTGCCATGTCATCTCAGGGTCCCCAAGGCATTTCAAAGAGCTCGATGACAGCCCACTTTTGAGTAATGTGGTCAGTCCCTTAGAGTTCCCTGTCATGACAACTGGGCCAGCTTCCTGCTCCAGTTACAGAGGAAGAAAGCGGGACACAGAAGAGTCAAGAGGTTTACTGAGGTGCACGCAGCAGGGAGCCAGGGGTAAGGCTGGAAATATAGGCTCTTCTCACTGCCCCTGCACCTCAGGCCAAAGCAATTTAAACAAAGATTTTAAAGACACCCTCTAGACTGCAGGGGTAACTTCTTCTCCTCAAACACCTCCCCACCCCCACCCTCAACCCTCCCACTTCACTGCCTCTCCTCATGTCCCAAATTTGATTCCAAGTTCCTGGAAAACAAGCACAATCAAGGAACCCAAGCTCATTGCTGTCCCGCGGACTCCGACTCACGGCGACCCCATGTGCACAGAGGAGAACTGCCCACAGGGCTTACAAGGCTGAGACCTTTTAGGACCAGACTGCCAGGCCTTTCCAAACACCCACTCCACGTTTCTGATCCTTTCTCCCTCTGCCCAGGGCAAAACGCACATCTGCTTTGCTTGTTGCTATTTTCAGGACCATGGACAGAGCTCAGGGATGGCAGGAGCTCAGTAAGTGTTCCCTGAAGGAAGAGGAAGCAGAGGGGTGGGAGACTCCTGAGGAGGAGGTGGACAAACACTAGAACATTCTAGAAGCAGCAGCACTTACAGGGCTCACACACACCGATGGCTGTTGTTAGCTGCCTTTGAGTCGGTTCTCATGACAACCCCAGATGTGCAGAGTAGAACTGCTCCATAGGGTTTGCAAGGCTGAGACTTACTGGAAGCAGATGGCCAGGCCCATCTCCTAAGGGGCCTCTGGGTGGGTTTGAACCACCAATCTTTCGGCGAGCAGTCGAGTGTTTAACTGTTTGTGCCAGCAGGGCCTCCTCTTCTATGCCAGGCACTGCGTCAAGTGCTTTACTGGGTTAGTTATCTTTCATCCTACTGGGATCCTCAAGAGACCTGGGAGTGGCTGCCACTGACATCCTCATTTCCAGAGGGAGAAACTGAAGCATGGAATGGACAAAGGATGGGCCCAGGGTCACAATGTGAGTAAGAAGTGATGCTGGACACGAGCCCAGGCAGTCCCCTAACCACAGCTCTGTTCGCAGAAGGCTGCTGTCCCAGCAGTGCCTGTGAGAGCCATGTGGCCACGGGAAAATGAATCAGCCTCTTGGAGGTTCGGGCTCAACATGTGCAACATGAGATACGAGAGCACACTGCCCTGCATGTCACTGTGCTCCATGGGTGCTGTGTTTCTGCAAATGGAAGGAGCATGGCAACCCAGTGCTGAGCAAGTCTGTCAGCGCCACCTTTCCCAAAACACGCGCTCACTTGGTCTGTGTCACATTTTGGTCATTCTTACACTATTCATACTTTCTCATAATGCTATTGCACACTCAAGGGACTACAGTATAGCGTCAACATAACTTTCACATGCACTGGGAAACCAGAAAATGCAAGTGACTTGCTTTCTTGTGGTATTCGCTTTCTTGTGGTGGTCTGGAACCAAGGCCACGGTATCTCGGAGGGACACCTGTAGATGATGTTGGCCATGCCCTCCAGCTCTAGAATTCTGTGATTTGGATGCTCTTAGGCTGAAGGTCAGGCTCTCAGGAAACAATGATTTCTGATATCATGCCCAGACCAGAGCCAGAGCGCCAACACAGCAGAGAACAAAGACAGAAACCAAACCACTGCCAGCTGGTGGGATGCCCTGCAAGCCTTTCACTCTTTGGACACTAGTATGTGCGTGTTTACATACACAACCAAAACGGACACAGGAAGCAGCCAAAGGAAAGGCCAAGGATGGACGTGCAACTGCTCAATAAAGTGACCTCCACTCCTTACGGTGCCCTGTGCCTGGCCGGGGCTGGTCTGCTGCCATGGTGGCCAACTGGCAAGGAGGCAGGCACACACAGAGGCTGAGCTAGTGCCTCAGAGCGGCAGCTCTCACCTCGGGCCTCTCCCTACACCAATCTCCTCTAGATACACGCTGGGCCTCTCCCCATCCCCCCACGTTCCTGACTCTGTGGTTCGGAGGGCATTGTCTTCCCTCTTGAACCCATCTACAGATGTTTAGAGCATGGAGAAATTTCTAGAAACCAGCTCAATCCTTACGGCCCCCTTTTCCCTCAGAACCAGCTCATGGCTGTCAACCTGCTGTTATTCACTCACTCACTCATTCACTCACCACTCATTCATTCAAAAAAGTCTGTGGGGTGTTGATTCTTTCCCAAGTGTGGCTTACAGAAATGACGAGCCCCCTGCCACAGGGAGGTCCCAGCCCAGTGGGGGGTCTGCAGACCCTGATCTTCTATGCCCATGGACCCCTGCAGCATGGTGGGAGCCAGACCTAGACCCCAATGCTTTCCGGAACCCTCAGCTCCCACTCACCTGGCTCTTACCAAATGCCTACTCCGTGATCCCAATTCTTTCTTCCTCTTCCCATAAATTCAGAAATCTCACCCATCCATGGCTGCTAGAGACACACACACTGATGTGTCTCCTACACGGGTCCTCCAGCCAGGAACATGATGATGTTCACTTTTGGGGACGTTTATTCTGTGACTATATAATCCCACCACTGATTATGGCTCTTCCTGGCTCCCACACCTCCCCAGACATGCTGCCACAGTCCCTTAAGTATATGGGGTGCCCCGGACCCCAGTCTAGTCTTGCTGCTACTCAAGTCTCCGGCTGAGAGGCTGACTTGACAGCCCAGTAGAGACGTGGAGGCGGCGGCTGCTGGCTGCTCAAGGACATGTGGTCACGAGTCACCTTCTAGGTCACATTAAAAGCAGAAGAAATGCAGCAAAGATGAGCATGCCCAGCCCCTCCTCCCAGACAACAAATCACTCACTTCCTTCAGTGTTGCCTCTGTTGTGTCGAAGTTGAGATTTTTAATAAACAGGGTGCAACCTGGAAGGCTCTCTTCCTCCTCCTCCTCCTCCTCCTCCTCTTCTTCCATCTTTGCTGTGGGGTTGTCTGCTCCGCCTTCCGTTGGCTTTTCAGCTTCTGGAGTCTTGCTGTCTGGTACTAGAAGCACCCCCCCAACAAAAAAATAAATCCATGAAATGACATGTGACTCGCAACCATGAACTCAAATATACCACAATGGTGAAGATGGCGCAGGACCAACTAACGTTTGCTTCTGTCGACACAACGTTGCCACGAGTTAGTGCTGACTTGAATGACCACGATCTGCCCAAGTCGCAGGGCGGAAGCACAGAAGCTGCTTGATGACGGGAGGGCCGCCTCTGAAAGCCGCCTGGAAAGGGCCCCGCAGCGCCCACCCGGAGCTGCTTCCGGAGCTCTGCAGAAACAAGCTTCCCACCTGCCTACATGTTCAATCGGTTCAACCACAGATACCAGAACACCAAGCTAAGTACTGTACGAACGTTCCACGGAACCACGACTCTAAGCAAAATACAACACTTTTCCTGAAACAAACAAAACCCAGTTCTCAGTGAACTTTCAAACTAGAATGGATCATGTAAAATTTTCAAAATTCATAAAGTGGGAGCAAAACTTGGACTGTTCTAAATACCCCTTGAATCTTAGGCACAGCAAGTCTATAACAATTCCCAGTATACATTACTTCACAAGAACATACATGAGAGAGGCTGGTTTTATCTACACACTAGTATGTGACTCAGAATTATGCATAATAGTAAAAAATGAATAATAATAATAACAAAAAGGCAGCACTAGATTGTCACAACAGCAGATCAGGAAGTGGAGGGTTCCACACACAGCGGAGCGCTAAGTCATAGCTGTTAACAATGTTTCCTGCAGTGCAGGCTTTTCACATACAATTTCACTGATTAAGTATTTACAGAAACACCTCCTGTGTGCATGCCTGATAGATACATCTGCACAGTGGTGAGGAAAAACTGTAAGTGCATTCCTACTTTTAAAAAATAACGTTTCCAAAAAGTGTTTAATGATGTGGAACGATACCTACGACATATAAAATTAAGACAAAAGTTAAGATACAAACACCATACAACATCATTCTAACTATGCTCTGTGCACGTGACTGACGAGAAGCACACACAGACATGAGGAGATAGGCCCAGAACTGTTTCATACACTGCTGTCTGGTTATCTCTGGGCAATGGGATCATAGGTGGGTATAGCTAGTCCCAAGGAGCCCTGGTGGCACAGTGTTACAGTGCTCGGTTGCTAACTGAAAGGCTGGCAAATTAGAACCCATGAGCTGCTTCAAGGGAGAAAAATGAGGCAGTCTGCTTCCATAAAGATGATAGCCTTGGAAACCTTCTGGGCACTGCCATTCCGTCCTCCAGGGGTGCTGAATCGGAGTCAGCTCAGCAGCAGTGGGTTAGTTTGGGCTTTGGAAACCCTCTGGGGCAGTTCTACCCTGTCTTCTAGGGGCTGAGAGTTTGAATTAACTCGCCGGCAGTGGGTTGGTTGGTTGGGTAGCTTTCTCCTGTCAGATCTACCCCAGAGAAACCAGCTGCTGTAGGGTCGACTCTGACTCATGGCGGCCCCATGGATGTCAGAGCTGAACTGTTCCACAGTTTTCCAGGGCTGGTTTTTTGGACAGAGATGGCCAGGCCTTTCTTCCAAGGCTCCTCTGGGTGGATTTGAACCCACTGTCTGGTTCCCAAGTGCTGCTCTGATAGGAATAGACCATAAGTGGGAAAGGCTCGAACAAACAGGAGTTTATTCTCTTACAGTTGGGGAGGCCAGAAGTCTGAGCTCAAAGTGCCAAGCTCCAGGGGCTGGATGAAAGCCCCTTGACCTTGAGCTTCAGCTCTGCCTCCTGCTCCCAGCCCACTAGAGGCATCTCTTCACTCAGGCAGCTGTTGGCTACTGAGGCTGACAAGCCCAAGGTTCACAAGTAAAAAGGCACAGTCCCAAACAACATGGCAGGCCACTAATTCAAGTCCAGAAGAAGTCCCAAGATTGACAGGGCATGGCAGGCTGTTGAATGACCACTTTGTTACATGCACTTTGTTACATGCAGGGTCAAGCATGCCAGAAGGCTGCAGACCTTCCCCAAAGCTGCTTTTTGCATACTGGAAACAGACCACATCCCAAAAGCAGCTACTCAGCTGCTCCAGTAGTAGGTTCCACCATGGAGTTGACTACCAGTCTCACCATGGGCAATAACTATATCCAGCTGCCCAGCCACTCAACGAGGCCTGGCCAAGTTGACAACAACCTTAACTACCATACCCATCAACCCTTTGGTTAGCAGGCCACCATGTTCACCGTGTGCATCGCCCAGAGACTCTGCCTTACATACGCTATCCCCTTAATGACACAAGAACCACATCACACGAAACGGGTGGCCCACAGAAAATGTGGTGGGCAGCTGCACCGGAAGCCTCGAGCAACTTCAGTTAATGAAAAAAGTTCACCGAAGACTGAACCAAACCCAACCCACTGCCACTGTGCTGATTCAGACTCACAGCGTCCCTGGAAGACAAGAGTAGAAGTGCCCAAAAGGGTATCAAAGGCGGTCAATCCTTAGAGGTAAGCAAAGCCCAAACTCAACACACTGCCAGTGACTTGATGCCAACTCACAGGACCCTATAGGCCAGAGCAGAACTGCCCCATAGGGTTTTCAAGGCCGTAAATCTTTATGAAGCTGACTGCCTCATCTTTCTCTTGCAGACAGGCTGGTGGGTTTGAACCACCAACCTTTTGGTTAGCAGTTACACGCTTAACTGCTGCTCTATTAGGGCTCTTTCTGAAGACTAAAGAAATGTTTATCAATGAAGATGCAGGAAAGCTGAGAGTTCACACTCACGTCCAATTTAAAGGGACAAGCTCTTCTCGGCACCAAACAACTGCTGCTGGCAAGGCCAGCCAGTTAGTGAACAGTTAATGTGGGCAGACCCTCAGGTGTCTCTCCGGAAGCGGAAGATGCAGCGTCATGTGAGACAACACCCAGTTTTTAAACATCAGTGACTATCTGGACGGCGTGCAACCTGTGCACTAGGCAGTGGTCAGCAACTAAAGCTCTGCTCAAGGTCTCCGCACTCTGCTCCCCACGTTGAGCCATCCATGGGCCTGGACCGCTGCCCCTCGTCCCCTGCCCAGGGGCCTGGACTCCAGATGGTTCTGAGAAGGGGGAGCCCAGAGGCTCTTAGCACGGCCAGATTCAACACCACCACAACGTTTGGGCTTAGTGATAGAGCAGAGGTACTGTGGCCAGCACCCCAGGGATGGGTGAGCCCCGGCTCTGGTGGGTCAGCCGCCCCCAGCCCCAGGCCAGGCAGCTCCTCCACTTCTAATAAACCATCCAACATGACTTGTGGGAAGTAAGAGGAAGGAAGAGCTCGCTGGAAATGAAAGCTGCTCAGATGTGGCCTGGCCTTCCTCCAGCAGCACAGGCCCTGGCTGCTTCTAGAACCATCTGTTCTCTCCTCACCTCCCTGCACCTGTGCCTCCTCAGGAAGCTGGAAGGACCAGGACGATGGTGCTACAGTACTGACAGGTGTGGGCACGAAGGGGGCCTGAAGGACAAGTGACCTTGGACAAGTCACTCAACTTCTCCGCATTGCTATCGTTCCCTCTAAAAAGGGGACGGTAACAATACTGCCCACCTGCAGGCCGGGTCTCAGAACTACCGCACAGATACCTGCCAGCATGGTGCTTGGGCCAGGAGTGCTGCTGTTGCTTGCTTTGAGATGGCTCTGACTCATGATGACAGGACGAAACGCTATGTGGTCCCGTGCTGCACCCATGAAGGCTGGTCTAAGCACCTGGTTAGCACAGAGCTGCTGCTAACGTCACCCTCTGCCCACACAGCCCCACCAGGCCCAGAGGAGAAACCCGGGGGGGGAACGCCACAAAGCCCTAACCCGGCAGCAAGGAGTAGTAACAGCCAGAGCAGGAAGCCCACAGAGCTGTCTAGCCTCTCCCTGCAGGGGCCTGCCCTGGGCTGGTTCCTGAGAACTGCCAGCCCCACACCTCAGTCTGGAGACCCTGGAGACCACGTTCCTGCTACACCCCGAGAAGGACGTGGCTCCCTGGGAAAGGTGCCCACCCATTGCTGTGCCAGGCCAGGCCCTGCTGTGCCCACACCTATGTCCAGAGAGGTGCAGGACCCAGGTGCACCAAGGTGATGGGACCAGGGGGCATTTGACAAAGCAACTCTGCTCCAAGGAAAAAAATAGAAAGATAAAAACAGGGCACTGTGAGACTCACACAGATGTCTCCAACAAAATCAGCAAGAACCAGAAAAAGCGGGAAGTAAGAAAGGCAGGCGGGCTGGCCAGGCGGGCAGGGAGGCAGGGAGGGGAGAATGCGCTTCCGTCTGTAGTTCACACAATCAAATCCAGTCGCGCAGAGCCACACGGGGTTTATTATAATCAGGCCGCAGAGTTTCCCGTGGCGCCCGCCCCTCGGCGTGGAGGCTGACAGCAAAGACTGTTATCAGTTGTGAGCAGCTTTGCAGGACCTCCCCCCACTCAGAGCCCTTTATCTGGAGGTGAGGGTCTTGGTTGGGGGGAGATAAAACACGCTGTCCCCCTCCCTGGAGATGGGTACAGAGAACAGGAGAGCCTTCCAGAAAGGAAGGGGGTGGAGCTACGACCCCTCTCTCCCTCTCCTCCCTCCCTCCCTGCAAGAGGCCCAGGGCTAGGGGCTGGTGGGGCCCCCAGCCTGCTCCTCGCAGCACTGGGGACACGATCGGGGAAGCAGGGACAAGGTGAAGAGGGCGAGTGGGGAGGAGCAACAGAAAAGGAGCTGGATGGGGGCCCACGGACAGGGGCAAGCTTGCATGACATGGGCGGTGGATGGAAAGGGCACCAGGGGGCCGTGAGGTGGGCACTGAGGGAGCTTTCCTGAGCCATGGGGCTCAAAAGGAGCGCAGACACCCAGAGCTCCCGCGTACCAACTGGGCCGGGCAGGCTGGCTACCCCTCCAGCTCTGAAGGCCCATGGGGTGAGGCTTTCAGAAGCCCGGGACACTCTCACCACTGAAACGCAGGGATGAGGAGGGAACTCAGGGCCTGGGGAACCAAGGGTGTCAGGGCTGGGGCTGGAGCATGCCTCAGCTCTCAGAAGCCAGCCCTCTGTGCCCTAGAACGTTCTGTACCGAGACCACTTCTATTGCTCCCTGTGACACCTCAGCTGTTCCTTCCACTAGTATGGAGCTCATGGGGATGAGGGCTGGTGAGATCCCATCTTGGTCAGCCCTGCTCAGCAGCTGGCATGAAGCCGGAGCTTGGTTACAGGCCACCCACTCTGGCCTATGTCATTGAATTAACAAAAGCCTGAGTGTCACAGTGATCTGGAGACCCTGGGTAGTGCAAATGGTTAACTACCTAACTGCCAACCCAAAGGTGGGCAGCTGACCCACCCAGACGTACCTCAAAAGAAAGGCCTCGCCATCTGCCTGAGAGGTCACAGCCCCGAAGACCCTCAGCCCAGTGCCACTCTGCACAGGGGCCTCACCCTACACTGGAGCCGACTCCACAGCAACTCTTGGTTTTGGTTTAATAGTGAATTACATGCCTTCTCTCACTATATCCTCTATTGTCCCCAAAGCCTTAAGAGCAGTACAACTGTCACCCCCACTTGACAGATGCAAAGACTGAACCTCGGAGAAGGGAGAGACCCTGGCAGTCAGAGAGTTGGGAAAAGATAACAAGGACTGCTTCCCAGACATCAGGAGACCTTTCCAGAATGGAAGGGGGTGGAGAAAAGCTAAGTCCCCTCTCTCTGCCATGCTCCCATCTCCCGCCCCCACCCCATGCTCTCCTCCCCAAGTGCTCTAGGCCACGCCCCCTCTGTGCTCTCGCCCCAAGTGCTCCAGGCCACGCCCCCTCTGTGCTCTCGCCCCAAGTGCTCCAGGCCACGCCCCCTCTGTGCTCTCACCCCAAGTGCTCTAGGCCACACCCCCTCTGTGCTCTGCCCCAAGTGCTCCAGGCCACGCCCCCTCTGTGCTCTCGCCCCAAGTGCTCCAGGCCGCACAGCATGAGGAATGTAAGGGCTGGGTACAAAGGATAGGATGCTTTGACCCTGGGGTCACTCAGCACGCACCTGGGATGCTGGACATGCCCTGCGTGCTGAGGATACAGCAGAGAGTAAGGTGGTCAGTACCCACCAAGGCAATGAACTTTCCAGTGGGCAGACAGACAGACAGGGATCATTCATAACGTAATTCCTGGCAGTGATTAAGCATTTAAAATAGGACAAAAGATAAAGGGAGGATGTGGGAATAAACAGGTATCTACAAGTGGGAGCAGCTACTATTACTGCCATTGATATTGTTGCTGTTATCACACCCCTCGTGTTCTGAGGCTGGGCTAACAACTGAAAACCAAGCTCCAAACTCAGTAAGCACCTACTACATGTCAGGAAGACCCGGGGGGATACAGCCACCGTGCTCAGCTGCTAAAGGAAAGGTGGGAGGTCTGAGTCAACTCAGAGGTACCCTGGAGGAAAGGCGGGGCAATCTACTGGAGAAAGCCTGGCCACTGAAAACTGTGAAGTGTAGTTCTGCTGACACACATGGGTCTCCCACGAGTCAGAGCTGACTCAGCAGCAGCTGGTTTACTGGTTACCAACCACCATGTGCCAGAGGCTTAGGACCCAGACAAGTCTGGCCCAGCCCCAATCTCTCAAAGGTATAAGGAGAGATTCAGAAACTCTGCTTCACTAATTTGCTTTCTCCCTCCACATCCCTCCATACATATTCACGAGCATGTACTCTTTTTGCTGGGTGCCTCCCGGGGTGGCGGCTACCCAGCGGTGAACAAGATATCCTATCCTCTGGCCTTATGCTTTGCAGTCTGCCAGGGGACATGGCTATTAGACACATAAGACACAAACAAGTAGACAAAATAAATACACATTGTGGCAAATGTTATAAGAGGACAGAGTGAAAGGACAGGGTCACCAGGCACATGAGCATGGCCACCTCAAAGCAGTCCCCTTGGCAGGGCCCACACCTGATGATTCCACCCAGAGCAGACAACTCCTGCCCTGGGTTTATTTTCAGGCCCCAACTACACCGAAAGGCCAGCAGTGCGAGTCCACCCAGAGGGGCCTCTGAAGAAAGGCTTGGTGACCTGCCTCTGAAAGGACACCGCCTAGAAAACCCTAAGGAGCAGCCCTACTCTCCACATGGGGTAGGAGTCTGAACTGACCCGCCAGCCCCAGCTTTGGGTCTGCGGGCAGGGCCCACGGTGTACTCGGGGCCCCTCACTCCTGGCAGAACTTTGTGCTTCAGGGGTGAACAGGCAATTGGCTACAAATTTATTCCTTAGGTTCAAGGGCAGTAACTGCAGTGAAAACCCAGGTGGGTGGTTTCGGGGTGGTTGTGAGGTCAGGAGAAAGCAAAACTCCACCAAGAGATCACTTTTTGATGGGAGCAGATGCAGGGCATGAAGGGAACCCTAATCCAACCTGCAGACAAAACCCACTCACAGGGCTGGTGAGGGGTCATGGAAGGGCTTTGCAGTGACGTTGTCACCCCTAGTAACTAGGGAGTGGTTTTGAATCCACAAAGAGCAAAGGACTAACAGAGTTTACATCACAACTGGAACAAGGCTTCCAGCTCAGGGGGCCCCAAAAGCCTTGTACTGATGGGTCCTGTAGCTTTACTCATCTCGATGAAATGAGAGACACAGACGGAGCAGGGAGGTCCCCATCCCGAGAGGCCTCCCCAGTTGAAAGGACTGTTCTTTAATCCCAGATGTCTGCTCCTAGACCCTGAACTTTTTTTTTTTTTTTTTTAATAACATACCCTTTGTTTTACGAGAACAGTGGCGATGGGAGGTGGGGGAATTATTATCTGTCTTGGTTTTGGCCATTCTTATTTAATAGACTAAGCAACTGGTCACCAGTTGGAGGCAAGCAGGGATTGTACTGGTGAACAACAACTTAAAAGTCTGGGTAAAATTGCAATGCCCCATGTCACTTTAGTTTTGTATATTTTACTGCACATAAATTATATTTCAATAAAATTTTAAAAACCTGGGTAAAATGACCTCCATAGTTCTTATCAATGTGCTTGAAAGCTTTCAGTTCTGAGACATGGTTATGTCACCAGATTATGAGGTTCTCAGCTGGGGGCTGTACCACCCCCAGGGGTCATATGGGAATGCCAACGATGGGGTGCCACGCTTGACGTTCAGTGACCAGGGCACAGGGATGCTAAATACCCTACAATTTGCAGATCAAACCGGGAACAAGGAAGAACTGTCCAGGTCCACACATCAGTGGTGTGCCCCACCTCAACTGTGCAGCATTAACAAGAAGTGTGGCGGCGGGGGCCAATCTGCACTAGGAACCACCACTTCCCTTTCCTTACTGCCACTGCAGCCACTGAACACCAGAGGGCGCTGTGTCACACCTCACCCTCCATCACAAAGCATCCTGGTCACTATAGGAAACAAGACACTATATTTCGCTTGCTCTGCCCTCTCAACAGATCCCAGTTTTGTTATTATTAATACCTTAAACTGACAAACTAAACAGTCAGCTACCTTAAGTTGTACCCATCATTTTTACAGTGTATTTAAAAAATTTTACCTGCCTATGAAATCCAAGCCTTGGAGACCCACCATCCCACAGAATGAAGAACCGCGAGCCAGACACTCCTGCCGCCCCCACCCCCCTTCTGCCGCCCCTCACCCCCCTGCCTTGCCCCACCTGCTCGGCTCCTGACAGCCTCAACTCAGACGCACTTACCAGTTTCTGGCTCCACCTGGTCTGCATCTGCCGGTGCATCCCTGGGTACTTCCTTCTGTGGGGCTGAGCTGGAGAAGACACCCACTGGAGCCCATTCCAGGTACAGAGGCACATGGTGAAACTGTAGAGACAGGGAAGTGTATGTGTGGGTCCTCATCACAGGCCTAAGCACAGTCTGAGGCTGAGTAGGGACTTGGTTCTGCTTAACAGATGAAGTTCCCGAGGGTCAGAGAGTACGGGTAACGCATCGGGGGACAAAGCCTGGAGAAAGAAGAGAGCCCAGATTCCTTCACGCTGCCTCATCCTGAAACAAAACCTGGTCTCCCCTCTGCATCATGGGGCCCAGCGACAAGGCCACATCTCTGTAGTCATTGCACATATGGCGGCAGCTCCAAGCCCCCCAGTGTGTTTCATCAGAGTATGGAACAGGAAGTGAGAGGACTGGAGGCAAGAGTCCCTGATTAAGGGTGGCACTCCTGGAGAAGGGCAGGGCAGTGGCTACGAGCACACGTGCTCTCTCCATACAGAAGCACTTACATAAGGCACTCTGGTGGCACAACAGTTAAGAGCTAGGCTGCTAACCAAAAGGTTGGTGGTTCGAACCCACCCAGTGGCACATGGGAGAAAGACATGGTGATCTGCTGCCATAAAGACTTCAGCCTAGAAAACCCTATGGGGCAGTCCTATTCTGTCACATGCGGTTGCTATGAGCTGCAATCAGCAGCAATCCACGTACACATGTGTGTGTGGCTAGGTGTGCACGCCTTCAGAGTTGTGCTTTAAAGGATGAGCAAGATGCTGATGAACGCTGCCTCGTGAGCAGGCATCTGGTGAGCTGCAGGATGTGGGGGAAGGGAGCCTTGTCAATACAACCCTTCCTGAACCTTCCACAATTTCAGACCCCATGCAAGCACACGCTCTGGGATGCGGCACTGGGTTTGGAAGATGGCTGCAGCACGTTTTAGCTGTGTGACCTTGGTTCAGTGCCTGTCCCTCTCTGGACCTCAGTTTCCTCATCTATAAAGTGAGGACAGCAATACCATAGAGGGAAACAGAAGCTGTTCACCACCAACAGGAGGGACTGCCTGGTCAGTGCCTGTTGTCAGCCTCTGCTGAGAGCCTCTGGGGATGGGAACATCCTTCCAACGCAGAAGAGAAGGAGGGTATACGTGCTGCTCTCGGGTGGGGGTTGAGGGGACACCCAGAGACCTGCTGGGCTGGCTCAGGCACTGACCAACATCCAGAGAGCTTCCTAGGCAGAGCCCCGAGCTGGGGACAGTCATGGGGCTATGAAGGCAAGGACGTGACAGCACTCCCCATCTGCAGGATGGGGACGCAAGCACAACCTCGATGGGTGGCTGGGGGACCAGGGTCTGCAAAGCACTGAACAGCTGGATACACAGAAGATCCCTGTAGGGGGTTGAATGGTGGCCCCCAAAATGATACGTCTATGTCCTAATGCCCACAACCTGGCAATGGGACCGCCTTTGGAAAAGGGTCTTTTGAAGTAAAGGCTCCTGAGATGAGATCATGCTGGATTATGTGGGTGGGCCTAAACCCAATGACAAGTGTCCTGATAAGAGACACATGAAGAGACAAGAAAAGAGCAGAGAACACAGAGACAGAGACAGACAGGAGTGAAGCAGCCACAAGCCAAGGAATGGATGGAGCCACCAGGAACTAAGAGAGGCCAAGAAGGATCCTCGCCTAGAGCCTCCAGAGGGAGCAGGGCCCTGGCAATGCTTCGATTTTGGACTTGGAGCATCCAGACTGTGAGAAAGGAAACGCTGCTGTTTCAAGCCACCCACTTTGCTATGGCAGCCACAGGAAATGACTCAGGAAAGGGAAGACAGCTCCACCTGCAGAACTTTCTACTGATCACAGAGACCCCAAGGGCGAAGAACCAAATGAACAGGGGCTTCATGACAGGACCCCTCAGGGAAGCCTGAGGCGGACAGGGAGCCAGGACTGGAGGAGGCTCTGGAACGCCCCCTTCCCACTCCTTGCAGCCAGAGTGGTCTGTGGGGGTGATGGGGACAGCAGAACTAACATCACGTCAAGCAAGACATGGCTGGTTTCCGAGAGCTCTATCCCATGCCAGGCCTATGCTAAGAACCATCAATGAATTGCTTCATTAATCCCCTCCCTTGATGCAGGTCTTGCTCCTCTGAGGCTCAGGGCGGCCCTACCTTGGAATAGGCCAGGTGTCGGAAGGCCTTGCGGGCCTCCAAGGGCTCCAAGAACTCCACAATGGCCGTGACGCCACCTTCCGGCAACAGCACACGGCCTAGGCTGCCGAAACGGCCAAACATTTCCTGCAGCTCAGCTGCCAGGGTGCCAGCCGGGAGGTTCTTCACCAGCATCACGGTCTTACTTCGTTCTGCTGCGGCCTGCGGGGAGACAAGGAGCACGCATGGGATGACAGGAGGGGGGCTCTGGTCCCACAGAGCACCCAGCGCTGGTCTGTGGTCTCCAGACAAGTAGCTCCATTTGGGAACTCAGGAACCAAGGCCCTTTGGAAGTACACCCAGGACGACCTCTCCCCTCCTTGGAAGTAGACCCAGGACGACCTCTCCCCTCCTTGGAAGTAGACCCAGGATGACCTGTCCCCTCCAGAGAGCTGCTTCAGGGAGCAGAGACACAGAGGTGAAGGGGATAAGGCATGGGCACTGGAGCTGGACCCCTGGGTGGAATCCCACTCTCCCCACTCAGGAGCGATGGTCAACCCACCAGAACCTGGGCACACCCTCACTAGACTCTCAGGAGCTCTGGCCCAGACAAGGCTTTGTCCTTGGCCACAGACCACATCTCAGTGCCAGGGCTGTCCCTGGAACTCCACTCCACCTGCTGACCACTTGTGTGCCATGGGACTGGCACCCCATGGAGCAGCCTTCAACCCATGACTCTCGGGAGCTGGTGCATCCGTCGTCTGAGCAAGAGGATTCTGAGGTGGGGTTTTACATATTTTCTCCTAGACTAAACGTCCATTGCCCACTTTGGTAGCCAGCTTAATAGCATACACTGTGCTGGTTTCCTTCCCTTCCCCTTATCACTTCTTACCAGTGTTTTCTGCAAAGCCCAGTGAACTACCTGTTTGGTAAGTCTTTATCAATGATAACTATTAGGGTATTTATTTAATTCATCCACCCATCCAGTTAGCCATCCATCCAACCAGCCAACTACCCATCTATCCAACCATGGATTCACCTACCCAACCATGCATTTCCTATCTATCCATCCATGCACCCAGCCAGCCAGCCACCCATTCACCCATCCATCTAAATCCTAAATCCTCGTCTCAGTCTACTTTGGGAGAACCCAAACCAAGACACTAGATATGGGGCTGTGAGAAATGTATGTACCTTTGCCATGCCTTGGCTCCCTTATCTACAACATAAAAACACAGCACTATCCCATAGGATCACTCCAGGAAAGGACTCAAGTAAATAGGTTAATACAAAGTACACAGAGTAGCATTCTGTAAACGTTAGCAGTTATATTAACAGGGAAAAGACTGTTGGAGGGAATATAAACAGCCAATAACATACAACGGAAAAATTCCAGACACATGAACTACCTGGACTTGAGTCTCAACTCAGACACCGATAAAACCCGAAACCCTGGGCGAATGGCTTTCCTTCTCTGGGCCCCAGTTTTCTCATCTGCAAGATGGATTAAGGATAATGTCCAATCTATAGGCCTCACAGGGTTGCTGTGAGGATAGAATAGGGTAAGTAGGTAGAAGCAGTCTGCAAGTGTGAAGGGCTGGGCACCAGGTGAGGCTGTCGGTGTAACAGAGTAAAAAATGGTTAAAGACATTTGAATGATCGCCTGGGTTCAAATCCAGCTCTCCATGACTAACCGGGACCTAGAGCAAGTGACTTCTGTGTTTCTGATCTCTTCTGCACAAACGTATTAGTCATGCCATCTCATGGGGTTAAGCAAGTGAAATGAGTTAATGAAACATAAAAAACTTAGAATAACTTAAAACTTTATTAGTTGTTGTTGTTGTTGTTATTTGCCGTCGAGTCGGCCCCGACTCATAGCGACCCCTCCTTGGGTTTCCGAGGCAGTATCACTACGGAAGTAGGATTGCCCAACCTTCCTTCCGAGGAGCGGCTGGTGGGTTTGAACCGCCAGCCTTGTGGTTAGCAGTCAAGTGCCTTAGGCACTATGCTACCAGAGCTCCTTATTAGTAGTAAGTCCTAATGAATATCAGCTATTAGTAATCCAACCATCCATCCAGACATCTATCCATCCCCTCATCCATCCGTCCAACCACTTAGCCATACATCCAGCCCTGTATCCATCAAACCATCCATCTCTCCAATTCAACATGATAAAACCTAAGGCTCAGGAAGGCTCATGAAGAGCTGGTCTGGGAGTCCTAAGCCCCGAGTTTTAGTCCAAGCTCCTGCCGCACTCGTGGTTTGACCTTGGGCAGATCACTCCCTATCTCAGAGCCTCAGTGTCCCAGTCTATAAAATGAAAGGCAGAGTGCCAGGGGCTCTCCAGGACCCTCTAAAATGTTATCATCCAGAATTCTCAGTTCTACTGGTCTAGGATATGCATGTGGAGGTACTGAACTCTGAACCAAATGCTAGACTCCAGAAAGGTTAAAACCCCCAAAGAGACAACAGGTGCTTTCGGTAAGTTAGTGACAAGGGAGAGAGGGGACAATGGCACATCTCTCCTCCTTTGATCTGTGAGGGGAAAACACAAGTCACACATGGTCCCTGAGCGACAGACTCAGGTGCGATGGGCCAGGGTCTGAGCCCATGACATCCTTTCTTTCTTTAGAGATGATGCAAAATGAATCATAGCAGTCCCTCAAGCCCATCAGCACCTCCCCTGATGGGTGAAGATCACCAGTGGCCGGTGGCTCACTGAGCTGGCAGGAAACACCCACCTGGCTGAAGGAGTCCAGACAGACCCCATTGTCGATGAGGAAGCGTCGCACCTCCTGGACGAGCTGGGTCTCCCCCAGGGCCACGCGCACAGCCACACTGCCCTTGGTTTCCTGTGCAGGGAGGAAAGCAAGAGGCCCGTCAGCTGCCACAAGTCTGCCCTCCCCTTTCCCAACAGCCTGAGGAGGGGCCTGGATGAGCTCTAGCCACACAGACGGATGGGAAGCTCGGCTGCTAGGCTGGAGGCTCGAGCCCACTCAGAGGAGCCTAGGACGAAAGGTCCAGTGATGTACTGCGTAAAATCAGCAACTGAAAACCATACACAGCGTAGTTCTTCCCCGACATACCAGGGATTGCCCTGAGTTGGAAACAGCTTGACAGCAACTGTTTCTTTTTCCAGGAGAGGAGGACAGAGACCAAGGACTGTCCTCTCCTTGGCCTTGGAGACTGAGGAAATGGGTAGGAGAGGAAGAACTAGGAGCACAAAGGCTGGGCACCTCCTGGAGAGGCATGCAAAGTGGTTTGGGGTGAGTACGCCGGGTCGGCAGATTCCACCGCTTCCCAGGAGTGTGACCCTGGGCCGGTTACTTTATGTCCCTGGGCTCAGTTTCTTCAATGGAATGTGGGGATAGTATGAGTACCTACTTCCCAGGCCTGCTGTGAGGAGTGCCATGCACCAATGCTGTGAAGCTCGGACCCAGGGCCCAGGACACCTGAGCGAAAGGACCACTACTCACGGGTGCCAGCAACTCCTAAACTCTCTGGTGTGGCTCTACACACGGAGAAGCCAGGACTGGAGGGGAATGGGGAAGATTCCAGTGAGGAGGGCTGGGAGAAGGCTCAAGCCCATTCCAAGGGTCCTGTGGGAAAGCCAAGAGGACACCCGTGACTGTGGCATGAGAGGCCCCAAGCTCAGGAAAACTCACCCAGGATAGCATCCTCCACCCCCTGCTGCCTTTGTACTGGTTCTTTCACTCAAGAGCTTGGCCTAGAGCCAGGAGGACTGGACAAGACGCTCACTCACATGGTCAAATACTTGGCTCTTGGTAGCGTTGTACTTCTGGGCGATGGCGTCAGCCACAGCGTTTGAGCCCATGAATAGCGTGTTCCAGTTGTGAGAGCTGAGAGGCAGAGGGAGGGAGAATGGGGAGGTCAGACCATGCTGAGCAAGGGGAATCCTAAAACCTTGGAGATACGGTCTCACAGCAGATCTTTCTTAACAACGAAGGCCACCTCCTCCCTCCAACATACCTGTCAGGAGCTAAGCACTCAGGGCCTAAAGGCAATGAAAATGGTGATGGTATTAACGACCCCTGAAGTCTGTCAGGGCAACACACAAGCCTCCACTGAGGCAGGTGGTGGCTGCATAACAGGTGCACTGGCTGGGAATCAAACCCAGGTCTCCTGGTGGGAAGCAAGAATGCCACCACGGAACCACTCGTGCTCCTTTGTCCAGAGCTTCCAGACTAAGGTGGACCAGGAAGAAAGGCCTGCTGACCCTCTTGCAGAATCCAGGCAGTGAAACCCGAAGGAGCACAAAATACTGTCCAGTTGTGGGAAAGGTGCAAGACCAGACAGCGTTTCATTCTGCTGTGCGTGGGACTGCCAAGAGTCCGGGTGCAGGTCACAGCAACCACAGTAACAGACGTGTGTCAGGCGCCTGCTTTGGGCTGGGACCTGAGCTTTCTGTATGGACTCACTCAGGCCTGCAGCCACTCACTCAAGGCACCATTACTCTTCCCATCTTGCACATGAGGAAAGTGAGCTCAGCAAGCTTGTGGGGGAGAGGCCAGGCAACTCAGAAAGGGCAGGGACAGGGCCTCAGGCTCCATGAGCAGGTGACAAGGACCTGGAGCTGTTGGCTTTGTCCTTGGCCTCCTTCTTCTTCTTGTAGGATGAGGATCCAGGGGTACTGGCATCCTCGCTGGCTTCCTTCTTGATGGTGGACGGTAACACGTGGAGCATCCTACCCTGGAGGGGACGAGAGGAGGGGTAAAGCCGAGGCCCACACTCACTGGGGCAGGGCAGGCGCTTCGGCCTTCTGCCTCAGGACTCCTCACCGGAACTGGAGCCAGCGCTTCAACTCTGACTGGAGAACGGGGTGTGAGGGAGTGTGACCACACAGCCACTCAGCCCAGAACGGGGCCTGCCACGGGACATGGGAAGGACAGGAAGTCAGGTAGTTATGACCACATGGCCACTTCAGGCCAGAAAGGAAGGGGACTCTGACCACGGAGAGGGTAGGGAGTCAAGTAGAATGATCACTGATCACCCTCAGCTGAGAAGGGGGTTTGGCCATGGGGTACAGTGAAGATGGGAGTCAGGGAGCATGAACACGTATGTGGCCACTTCAGTCCCAAATGAGGGCCTAGCCATAGGACACAGGGATCTGACACTGTGATGGGGTCATCTGAAATAGCTTGACAAACACAACCTCAAGCAGCTTACACATTAATATGTGCTGCCTTTCCCCCGCCCCCTATCCTATGCCCACCCTGCCCCTGCACACGTGAACGAGAGTGTGAACGCCAAGCCAGCAGGAACCTAGTCTGACCCAGTGACCACAGGAGATAATGAATCAGGAGTGGATGATAGGAATGAGGAAACAGGGTGATGAGGCAGCCCAGGGATCAAGGGATGTTCACTAAGCACGTTACTTGGAGCTCCTGGAAAAAAGAAGAGCTCCATACATCCCAGTGCCATTTTAGTATGATCAGGTCAAAATTTCTTCCTTAGTCCTTGTCCATCTGGAGATGGAGAGCACATTTATTCACTTGACAGATACTCTTTTGAGCGTGGACTCTGCCAGGCACTGTTATAGGTGCTGGAGACAGGTCAGTGAATGGGACAGATCTGTGGCCCTGCCTGCAAGGAGCTTACATCCTAGGAGCTCATATGAGGTGGTGGCTGGGCACACCACTGCTGCTGGGCATCCTTAGGCCTGAAACACGGTCCCTTCTCTCTCATGTGCACACACACATGTGCGTGGCTGGTGAGCACATACCTGGAACACCTGTCCATCCACCTCAGCGTAGGCCTTCACCGCGTGCTCGGGGAACATGAAGGTGACAAAGGCAAAGCCCTTGGGTTTCTTGGTCAGGCTATCGATGGGATAATGTAGCTGAGACAGGGGGCCTGAGGACAGGACAAGTGTTAGTCTCCTGCAGACTGAGGCTGGGCCTCAGTACCAGGTAAGAAGAGTCTGGGCACTAATAAGGTGATTGGGTATAACTGGCAGAACCATCCACCCACTGCTCTGGGGCAGCCACTGCCTACACCTGCTGCGAGGCCAACCTCCAAGGTCAGGGGTGTCCTTTCACAGGCCTACACATGTCTATCCTAAGAAGAGAGGCAGAGTGGAGTTGAGACACCTCGCCTGAATCCTGCCTCCACCACCGGTATCATGTGTGGCCTTGGGCAAGGAACATGGCCTTCATACGCCTCAGTTTTCTCATGTGTAAAATGGCATAGTTGTTGTTGTTTTTATGTGCTGTTGAGTCGGACCCAACTCATACGACCCCTCCTTGGGTTTCCGAGGCGGTATCTCTATGGAAGTAGATTGCCCAACCTTCCTTCCAAGGAGTGGCTGGTGGGTTTGAACTGCCAACTTTCTGGTTAGCAGCCAAGTGCCTTAGGCACCAAGCTACCAGAGCTCCCAAAATGGCATAGTAAGAGTACCTAACTCATAGAGGCTGCGGGGCTGGTGAAATGCATTCATACAGTACCGTTCATACATGTACCAGAACAGAGCCTGGTACATGGTTAACGGACATGAGTGTTTACTGTAATGTTAATATCTTGAAGTTAAAACACCTGGCTTTTCAATCTGTGCTTCCACACTCAACACCAGGGTGTGACCATGGCCCCTTCTCTCTGTCTCCCCTCACATGGATTATTTCAGTCCATCACTGACCCCCTCTCCTGTCCCTGCTATATAAACCAAGATACTAACCTGCATATGGACATGGGCTCTGTCACACATGGGATTCAACTGTGTCCCCCATTATATGTGGCAACTTGACTGGGCCATGATTCTCAGTCGTTTGCCAGTTCTGTATTGATGGATGCCATCTAGCAGTTATATAATGATGCCATCATCCCCCATGACACGATCAGCCATTCAGTTGTAAGAGGATTAGGGTGAGATGCAGCACCCCAACTCAGGCCACAGCCCTGACCTAAGGGGAGTTTCCCTACAGTGTGGTCAACATCCCCTTTTATAAGAGATAAAATCAGAGAAGCAGAAAGAAAGGGACCCGACTACCACCAACAAAGAATCGCTATGAGCAGAATGCACCCTTTGGAGCCAGGCTCCCTGTGCTGAGAACCTCCCAGACCCAGGGGAAGACTGAGGCCAAGACGGATGGAGAGCTCCAAGGAACACCGGGCCCACAGATGTTGAAAGGAGACAGGGACGTTCCTCCAGAGCCGACAGACAGAGAAAGCCATCTCCTAAAGCTGGTGCCCTGAACTGGGACTTAAAAGCCTCCAAAGCGAAAAGAGAACAGATTGTTCGGTAAAGCCACCCAGTTGTGGTACATCTGTTACTGCAGCACTAGGGAACTCAGACAGGCTTGGATGTTACACTGATTTGTTCATACTGGTCACTGAATAAACTTCTGTGGTCCTCCACAACCCACAGCCTCCCGTGACAACATCAGTGGGAGACACTGCAGGGGACCCCAAACTTCCTTCCCTGCAACGACTATAACCCTACAAACAAATACAGGCTTGCGTAACCAAGCTGTACTCCAGGCCATCTCGTCTGGAGACCTAATAATAGTAAGAGGGAACAACAGCAGCAACAAAAAGAACAACAGCATCAACAAAAAGAAAAACAGCCCTCAGTGTCAAACCAGCAGACTGTCCAGTTTGGACAGCAAGACTCTTGGAAGCAAAGGGTTCAGCTACCGAAGGACACGGCTCTGTTCACAGCTATACACTCGCCTGAATTTCAAATGCTGAGTAAGTAGCAGGAGTTCAGACAGCAAAGGAATTTCAGAAAACTTATCCAAATGAGGGAGCAAGACACCTATAATGTTACCTTGGATTGTGTGCCCTGCAAACCCCTAAACAAACCATGGCCCTGACTCCTTGCGGCAAGTCAGGGGTAGTCTGGCCCATTTTACAGACGAAAAAACAGATCATCTGCCAAGGCCAAGAGCTCGAGGGAACCCAGCTGGGACTTGACCCCAGGGCATCTGAGTCCGGGGCCTGAGTCTCACACCCAGTCTGTCAGGGTGTGCAGTGGGCCTGGAGGCCGTGTCCTACCATATTTGGAGAAAAGCTCCTCCAGGTCTTCCTCGGTGCTGCTGTAAGGCAGGTTTCGTACAAAGAGCCTCCCGGAGTCGGCAAGGTCCTCCTCCTCCTCGTCCTCCCCCAGTGTCCGGCCTTGCCAGGGCTTGGCGCTGTTCTTCAGGGGACGCTGGGCCACAGGGCCACTCTTTTCCCTGAACACCTCGATGTAGCGCCCACCTGCATGAGGAGAGAGGCCAGAGTTCCATGGGGCAGCCTGGAACTTAGCAGTGACTCCTGACTGGGGATCCGAGTCTTCTCTGCTGCCCCCCAAAATGTGGTGGCAGAGGGGGTACTCATGACAGCACTGACATCACCCTGTGTGACCAGGCAGCAGCCTGAGCCAATGCCAGGGCTTAACTAGAAGGTCCTCAACCCCACTCATCCTCCAAGGTCAGTTTCAACAATGTAGGGAAGCCTGTTTGGGCTGTCCCAGTCCACAGGGGCACCCCCTCTAAATTCTAGACACTTCCTATCGACCAGCCCCGGCACTTTTGGCTACCCTGCCTTGGGAAGGTCTTGGGTGACAACACAACCCTAGACAATTACCGTGTGCCATTGATGGAGGTGTTTACATGCATGTCCCGTGTGCCCTGCTGGACTGTGACTACCCCCACGTCTGCCACATGCATCTAGCAGGTGCGCAACCCCCACCCACCAATGGAGCTGCTGACCAGACCCCAGGCTGCCCCACCTTCCCTAACAAAACTCGGGTCTTCACCAAGGGTGGACAGCTAGACCTGAGTCACTCATCCACACCGGGTCAGATGCTGTTCAGGCAACCTCTGAGCCAAACAACCTGCACTTGCTGTTCCCTCTGTGGGAATGCCCAGTTCCCACATGGCCAGAGCTTGTGCCCTCAACTCCATTGGTTTTTGCTTCAACGTTGCCTTCTCTGTGAGGCTCCAGTGTACACAACTCTTTAAACTATGCTTTCTCCATCCCTGGTCCTCCCCAGAACCCTTGCTTGCTGGACATTCGTCCATAACCAGATCATGCCTTTGCCCCTTTTCTGATTTAGGAGACAGACACTCTTCTGGAAATGAAGTGACGAGGCCTGGAAAGAAAGGTTTGGTTTGCATGTCCTGGAGGCCAGCACTCTGCAATCAGACTTTTGCATTTGCTCTTCAAGGTTTGCCCTGTTCCTAACTTTCATGGATGAGTGGTGACAAGGGCCTTTATCCCCTGCTCCTCAGTGGACCTTAAACAAAACCAAAGCCACTGCCATCAAGTTGATTCTGACTCACAGTGACCCTTTAGGACAGAGTAGACTGCCCCGTAGGGTTTCCAAGGCTGTGCATCTTTATGGAAGAAGACTGACTCATCTTTCTCCCACTGATCGGCTGGTGGGCCTGAACTGCCAACTACTCGGTTAGCAGCCACATGCTTTAACTACTAAGCTCCCAGAGCTCTATGGCCTGTGTGTTATGCTTGATTATGCCTGCCTCCTCCTGCTCTGTGGAAGGTGACTTTGTGTGAGCTCCGTGAGGTCTGTGTATGTTGGCTCACTGCTGTCTCCCAGAGCCAGCACAGTGCCTGGTGCATAGCAGATGCTCAGTAAAAGCCTGTGCAGTAAACGAAGGAGCAGCCAAGCCTGCCCCAATCAGAGATGATGCTACCGAGGCTACCTTACCCATGTATTCCCTGTTGCACTTGAGCGCCTTCTTCACTTCCGCCTCACTGCCAAAGTCCACAAAGACGTACCCTGGGAGACGACAATGACAGGTGAAATCTGCAGGCCCTGCAGACACTCAGTGGGCATCACAGATAAGTACACACACTGTGCTAAGTGTTTGGGGAAATCTGAGCAGAGATGGGGGAAAAAATAAAAATCTATTTTTGCCATTCTCTGGCCAAATCTCCCTTGGTGGGGAGTTCTGAGACCCTGTGGCGTGGCTCTATGCATAAAGATAGTAGACTTGCAGAAATGCAGGAGGCCCTTGGCCTCCCATTGGACTCACCCGAAGCTCTAGCTTCTGCCCACTCTTGGGCCACATTGGGGCTTAGTGCTGTTGTAAATGCTGTAAGGTTATTAACTCAATGAACTCTCTCTCACAACTTGATGAGACAGGTTTATCCTTAGGGCACTGACAAAGAAATTGAGGCCAAGTACCCTGTCCAAGGTCAAAGGGCTCTTAACATGGCTGTGCCCGTAGTATTCTGTCACAGCAGCCCCAGGAAACTAAGACACCTGGGGAGACATTACTGGGGAGGACAACACCATGGGTTCATGTTCTAAGCAGCTCAGACCACCATTTGCCAGCAGAGCTGCCAAGGGACTGGGCCCAGCAACCTCAAGCCCTGCTGACATCCATTTAAACGGAATAGACAAGCCCAATGGAGTAAGCACAAGCTGAGGGTGAGGAGGGGAGAGAAGGGAGACAGGAGAACAGTGTCACTGCACACGCTGCCGAGGCAAGTGACGTGAGGTCAACCCTTTCCCCAGCCCTCAGCACATCCACAGACCTGAGGCCCACAAACCGAGAAAAAAACGGTTACCCTTAAAACTTCCCTCCCTCATTCAGTGGCCCTAACCTTCCACCTCTACTGTCTGCATCTTAAGCCCACCTGGGAACATGCTAGCCCTTACCTGTTTTGTTCCCGTGAGCATTTCTCACTATCCGAATGGCCACCGGTTTCAGGGGTGCCAAGAATTCCGTAACGTTTTTCTGGAAAGAAAAGATTCCCCCCTTTATTGATCCAAGAAAAGAAAAAGCACAGCCCAACAGAGTGAGTTTCTGACTTCAGAGAGGATGCCAATGGGTTTCTCCTTCTAGATGCTCTCTTGACTTTCAATTACAGATGTCTGAGCACCACCCAACGTCCCTGGGGGTGTAAATGGTTCAGCTGTTGTGACAGAAGCTGTGTTGCTCACCCACTGCCCACCACCGTCGAGCCGATCTCAACTTGCAGTGACCCTAAAGGCTGAGCACAGCTGTCTCACAGGGTTTCCAAGGTATAAATCTTTACAGGAACAGATTGCCACATCTTTCTCCTACACAGAAGCTAGTGGGCTTGAACCACCTAACTGTCAGCTAGTAGCTGAGCACTTGTCCACTGCAACACCAGGCCTCCTTATACTGTCCACAAAGCCCCTAAACAGTGATCAGCTGGCTTGTTTCCCGCTGTCTTGGTAACTACCCTTGTTTCCTGATCCTACTTCTCAGGCTTTGGTCCCCAATTCCTTTCAGTTCATGTCCTCAGCTGACTGGAAGGCCCCCATGCCGCAATGGCCCCCCGCAGCCCACCCTTGCCTCCTGCCCACGAGACTGCTTGTCCTTGTCCTCAGTGAGCACATACCTCTGTGACATTGAATGGGGCTCCCCGCAGCTTCACGGTGTAGGGGGTGGTGGGCTCTTTCTGGGTTGTTGGTTTCTCTGTCTGGGTGACAATAAAGAACAAACAGAAATGGCCACAGTGAGCCTTGGTACAGCTGCAGGAGCAGGCCGACCTCAGGACCCCAGTGCCCGACAAGGGCCTGGTCCCAGGGGGAGCCAGGGAATACCTGCCGGGGTCTGTGCCCACCGCAGAGGCAGAGTGTGGACAGAGGTAGAGTGCGGAGAGTCCAAGCCTCCATGTGCACCTGAGAAGGGGCTGGGACAGAGCCTAGCAAGTGTGCTCAGGGCCCGGGCTGCAAGGAGGGGCAGAGGAACTGGGAAGGAGGTCCTGAAGTACAGTGGTATTTGCTGCCACTGATGATAGGTTTGCTCAGTGTCTGTTGCGTCTTTATAGCAATCCTATAAGGCCTACAGTTTTAGGATCTTTTCTCGTAAATCGGGAATCCAAACAGCTCTGATAAAACAGAGATTCCTGGTAACTCATTTGGCAAGAAAACCTGTCCTGACCTAAACTCACGTGCCATCTAAGCCTGACTTGAACCAGTGTGAGGCTCCTTACAACCAACTGCTGGTCAGTCAACTGCAACTTATAGTAAAATGCCCCACAGACTATGGTGTGGTCCAATGACCTGGGAGCTGTGCAGCCGGCATGTAGCACACGCTCAGTTACTGTTACTATCACTGACGGGAACTCATTTCTGTTTACACTGCTACTAAGGACAAAGTACACTCTCACAGCTGCCACCTAGCCTGTTTATGCCCACAACTCCACAGGACAGGCAGCATCACCATGTAGTGGGAAGCGAACTCAGAGAGAAGCGACTGCCCAACGGCAGCAAGCACGTGGCAGGGCTGGGATCTGAGGCCCGGCCTGTGGACCGCAGAGATGTTTTCTCCTCCACCTTCCAGGCCCTGATAAACAGGAGCCTGGGGACGTGTAAGAGCACCCCCTCCCCAGTACCTCCTGAATCTTCAGGGCACAGTCCTGCCCCCAGATACCTCGGTTCTGGCTTCCCGTGGTTGCTCCTTCACAAGTGGGGCCCCTTGCTCGCAGCCGGTCCCCTTCCTCTCCAGTTCACAGGGAGCTGGGGTGGCAGGGGAGTCTTCGTCCTCATCCTCACTGCTGCCCTCACAGTTTACTGCTTCATCTTCACTCCCGGAGGAGGAGGAAGACGACACCACGGCCTTCACCATTTTGGATTTCAGGTAATCCATGTCCGACAGCTCCTTCTGCACAGCTGCCTTTGGTGTGAGGGCTCCCTCCACTGGATAAACAGGGAGACTGGAAGTCAGCAACGGGTGTTGGCAAGTCATTGCAAGCCCCCACCTTTCCTAAGAACCACACTGCACTGTCCCCTCAACACTCCCAACTGGCTCAGCTAACAAGTCCCTGAAATTTAGGGAAGGGGCTAGGGATCATAGTGCACACAGGACCCTTCCTCCCTGATTACCCCCAGTGGACCAGAGGAGCTAGATGGTGCCTGGCTACCATGACCATTCAGAGCAGGACTGCAGTAGATGGATCCTGACAGAACGGGACAGAAATGTGGGACCAAACTCAAACTCTTAAAAATTCCAGACTCGCCAGACCAGCTGAAACTAGCGACTCCCTGAGCCTATCACCATGAGACACTCTCTAAACCTTGAACCTAAACTAGCCCCTGAGGCCATCTTTTAGCTAAGTAACAGACTGGATCATAAAATAAAGAATAACACCTGTGCCTACTGTACTCCTTCAAAAAATCTAGAGGAAACCAAATGGTCAACAATTACTCTAAAACAAAAATGACAGAGAAGGTAAGAGGACAGGGAAACTAGATCAATGTGAATGGGACAACCAGAAAGGAAATATTGGGATCATTTCACACATTGTCAAGAATGGAACCAATGCCACCGAATCTGCACAGAAATTGTTGAATGGGAACCTAAACTGCTGTGTAAACCTTCACCAAAAACAGTGAAATATTATTTAAAACAAACCCAGTGGTGGTTTCCAAATGCTCGCAGGACCAAACCCAAACTTTCTCCCCAGGGCTCCCAGCTGCTCCTTCCAGCTCCACCGTGTACTGCTCCAGTCACCCTGGGCCACCCAGAGTCCCCACAGCACAGGCACTAGCCCTTTCCCTGGCCTTGGCCACAAACCCCACTCCCCTCCTGTGTTCCACTCACTCCCAGGAGGCCTCAGGATCTCAGCTTAGCACAAATTCTGCCAGCCATAAGATAAATGTTCATTTCACATTCTCGATGGTAGCAGATTGATTTGGAAAAGGATAGTGGGAATGGCTACACAACTTGCTGAACGTCATCAGTGTCACCAAATTGTACAAACGGCTAAGACAGCATGTTTTCTTATGTATATTTTCACCATAATAAAATTTAAAAAAATAAAAGATGGAAATAAATTCATGTTCTCTCGGTTCTAACCTAGAATCTAGTCCCAGCCCTTGACCTTCTCACTTCCCTGTGACTGCTTAACCTCCCTGCAATCTCCTGACCACCCTTGAGCCCCTTCTGAGGATTAGGCTTTACACCTGCACCTCACGGCCTCTGCTCAGGGATCACCTCCTCACTGAAGCCCTCCCTGACTGCTCTCCTAGCATCCTTCTCGGCTTCTCTGCAGCATCTGCCATAACATCATACACTCAGTCATAACCTTCCAGTTTATTGTTTATTTCTCCCCTCTAGAAAGACAGCTCCACAGGGACAGGAAGTCCTTTGTCTTTCATTCACTGCTACATCCTTGATGCCTCAAACAATAGCAGGAGTAAAGAAGGCACTCAGTCAACACCGATTCAGTGACTGACTGATTGACTGGAGTGAAAGGATCATTGGACCAGCCATAGAGAACCACTCCCACAGAGCTCAAGGGCAGTGACTAGCTCCCCTGTGCCCCAGCGTCTGGCACCAAGGGGCCTCTCACATCCTGGTCTGGTGGCTCATGTGGGCCTGCACACACACACAGGCCCATGCCGGGGACCACACTCAGACACAGGGACGCCTCACCTGCCAGGCCTTCACTGGCCCCCTCTTCCTCACTCTCCTGGCCTGAGTCTGAGTCGAAGTTCAGGTAGTCGCTGGCCGCCTTGCTCTTCCCTTTTGTGGGCTCAGTGTCCAGGGCATCGTTGGCCCACGTGGCAGCCTGTGTCCGTTTCTGGTGGACGGACAGGAACTCCCGGAACTCGGTGTCTCCCTTCAGCTGGTGACACCAGAGTGAAGGCAGCAGGAGAGCAGGGAAGAAGGGAGGACAGAGAAGGGTCAGGGAAGACTTGGAGCTACTGCTCACCGGGGAAGGGCACCCTCTGAGCTCACCCCCAACGATGGGGGTCAGTGGGGCTCTGAGGAGTCAGAGTGAGCTCTTCCCCAAATGAGAAGGTTCAGGGGGTCACAGGGACATGGCCAGCAGAAGAGAGGCAGGCATTCTGTGCCTCTTGCCTGGCCTAGGTACCCCTGGAGACCCTCCTGGTTAAGAGGCCAGACTCACCTTCTCCAGTTCCATGGTGGCCTTCTCCTTCTCCCTGTCCTGAAAGGAGAAGGCAGAGACTTTGGGTCCCACAGGGGAAGGAAGAGGGAACAGAGCTGCCTCACCCTGGGAGGGCCCACCTCTTGGCCAATCACAGGGGATTCTCAGAACGTTCCTGCTTCACTGCCCATCCCTCCCAGGGCAGTGACCATCCTGCTGACAATGGGCCAGGGTGACCTCTGACGTACGTGCTTTGTTTGTGGGGAAACAGGGTCTTTTGAAGGTGGCGTGGGTAGGCTTGGTTTCTGGGCATGTTTGCTCCAGGCTCGGGGCTTTGTGGGGTCCCCAAATGACTTGCAGAACTCCACCTGCACAGGAGAGAGAGGGTGACAGTCACACTAGCCACTGCACCTAGGCACAGGGCTGCACGTCAGCAGCTGCCAGCTGGGACGTTTTAACCAGCAATTGCCACTCACTAGCTGAACTAGTTGAAACAAATGACTTATCCACCCTTCACCTTGGCCTGGAGTCCCTGGTGGCACAGACAGTTAAGGTGCTCAGCTGCTAACCAAAAGGTCAGCGGCTCAAGCCCACCAAGAGTTGTCTCCAAGGAAAGGTCTGGGGATCTACTTCAGAGAAATGAGCCACCGAGAACCCCATGGAGCACAATCTACTCTGACACACACGAGGTCACCAAGAGTCGGAATCAATTCAACAGCAAACGTTATTTCTAAACCTTGGTGTTCCCCCACTTTGTAGCCATTGTAATCGTAAGTGCTAACATCCACTGAGGATTTACATATTGCAGGCATCATTTCAACTGATTCCATGAGCTTCTCACAACACCAAAAAGATGAACTAGGACTACTGCCACATTTCAGAGAAGAAAACTGAAGCAGAAAGAAGTTACGTAACTGGCTCTACATTACCCAGGTGGTAAATGACAGAGAAGGGACTGGAACTCAGGGAGTCTGGCTTGGGAACCCAAATCCTTCACTATCAACTCCAAAAGCTGGTTGTGAGGATGAAATGGGGTATCCCGGGTGAAGTTCTCATCCAGGGTTGGGGCTCAGGATAAGGCTGACCATGAATACTAGTTAACAAATTTTAAACCACTGCTACTACAGGAAATGCAGGGTTATAGTATTTTTGTGAGCTGACACATAACCTTGTTCTCTGTGTTTCTGTTTAGGTCCTTATTTCATATACATTGTGGATTCATTAACATTGAACTCACAGCCAACAGCACTGTGTCTCGTGCCTGAACAAAGCTTATGTTACAGAAGTGTTTTCTCTGTGAGACACATCACAACAGTAATGGAGACAGCACTTAAGCACTTTGCTCAGGGACTATTTTAAACAGAAAAGTCACCAACAAAAAGTGGGAAAAAATGTGTAAAATGTGGCACTAAATATAGCACACGCATGACACTTGTTTATAGTGCAAGAGATGGAACAAAGTAGGAGAGAATCAACTTCTCTAACCTCAGCCAGCAACGTGTATGTCAGGCAACACACAAATTTCACTGCTCCATGCATGTCCGTGAATGGCTGTGAAAGTGCTATGAGTAATGATGCTGGGGTTACTTTCAGGAGCTCTGGTAGCATAGTTATTAAAGTATCTAACCAAA